CCATCAGAGAGCAGCTTTTCTATCTTCAAGATCTGCGTGTGTTGACTTTATTTCTCCCAATCTCCCATCGCCCCTCACAGGAACCTGTTAGTTTGGCAGCGCTGGTCACAGCAGTACCAGCCTAGGTGCGTGGCCCAGRTGGCTTGTCCTGTGTCCCTGAGCTGGAGACCAAGGTCACATTCTATCTTGCTGGTGGGCATGTAGAATGTGAAACGTGGTCACCGCCTGACCTGCCCCCCCCCCAAGTACCACAGATTGAATTTTGGATTCTCCTTTTCAGTGTTGTTTTTGATCAGTATCCGCAGATGAAGACTGATGGCGCCTACTGGTATTTCTGTTAAACCAGACTGGTGCTATTGGGCGAGTTGCACATTTCYTGTTCAGTTTATTCCTACATGTTTAATCCTCTGTCAATATACCAAACTGTAGCTTTTAACTAGCTGACTCTTTGCTGTGCAGGAGGGAAAGAAGTTGTATGTCCATGGGTTTTGGTTTGTTTTTTCTCTCATTTTGCAAAATCCTAAATTTATCTTTTTTTTTTAACCTTTCACCCCACAGTGTCCAAAAGGTGCCTTTCTACGTGATATGGAGACCTCTGGATTCCATGGTGTTGTCATGGTGTGTTGCTTTTTAGCTGCCATGACAGACAGACCGCATAAACTTGGTGCCTTCAACAACATAAGTCTGTCCTCTCACAGTTCCAGAGGACAGAAACCCAAGTCAGGGTGTCGGCAGGCCACCCGCTCTGGGGAGAATCTGCTCTTCCCTCTGCGGCTGCTGGGGCCCAGGGGCCCTCGTCATCGACGCGCTCCTGCTCTGCTCCGGGTCTTCTCCTCTTCCGTCGTTTTTCAGGACACATGCTATTGGACAGACAGCCCACCTCAAGGTCCTTGATGACRTCGGCAGAGCCTTTCACACATCAGGTCACTTTCCCAGGTGCCAGCGGTTCCGACTTCACCACCCTTTAAGAGCCACCATTCAACCTAAGACAGAGCCAGCCTTGGACTGAGGTCAGCCTGGCAATGGTCAGACAGGAAGACTCAGTCACAGAACCCGAGGCCTGACCCACCTCTGGATGCTGAAGCTGGTCTACACCCGTGGCCGGGCTTAAGAGGAGCTGGGCAAAGGGCTGSACCGGCTCACCAGGTCCCAGGCACTCACCGCTAGTTGCTGGGTCCTGGGGGCCCAGGAAGACCTGAGGAGGGGTCCCAGGAAGGGGACCTGGGGCCCAGGACAGGGGCTCTCAGTCAGTGCACTTAACAGCACTTGGACATCTCACGACTGGCGGAGCTGCCGAAGAGCCTGCCAGCTGACACCAGCCACCTACACCCCGGGTGTCCCTAGGCAGCCAGTGCCCAGCTCCGCCCAGTGCCAGCTGTCTGTGGTGGACTTGGCTCCCTTTCTGTGCTGCGCTCACCACCAGAGGGCACTCCGCTGATTCCTCATCTGCTGCTGTTCACGGGTCTGCTCTCAGCTCTGTTTTGGGGTCCCCCCCAGGTAGGTTTCCCATCTTTCATCTCCCTCCAGGCTGCAGCTGGGTCTGCGAGACCCTCAGAGCTGTCACTATGCCAATGAGTCRATGCCTGTGGCACCTGGGGGAGGAAGCGGGTCACGAGGACTCGCAGCTAGAATCGGCCACAGTGCACACGTCGGCCTATGAGACAAACCCGTGTGACCAGCAGCTTGGTAGCCCGGGCTGCACCATAACTTGGACACATGACCCCCGAGACAGAGGGCTTTGGGAGGACCTGAATTCCATCACCCCTCTTACCAGGACACCGGGAGTAGAAATAATGAGTGGCAGAAACCTGTGCATTTCAGTTGTTGGAAGGCAAACACCGGTGGCGTCGAGTGTGCCTAMCTTAAACAGAACAGGAATCGGAAAATCGGAAGAGCCGGGCAGCGCAGCAAGGGTGTCCACGTCCTCCTCTCTAGAACCCATGAAGGCTGCTCTGCACGGCCAGTGGGGGCCAGTGGGGGGCSAAATACAGATACGGGGAGGTTTCTGGACAGCTGACAGGGAGATGGCCCGGATTCTCCAGGTGGACTAGAAGTGACCGCAAGGTCCTCAGGTGGGGAGGATGGAGGCAGAGTCAGAACCAGAGACGGCGTCCAAGGACTCGGTCACCACGGCAGCTTGGAAGGCAAGGAAGGGGCAGCAGGCCAAGGGTACATGGTGCAGACAGCCCCCACGGCTTCCCAGAGCCCCCTCCCCAGGGAACCCCTGCAAGGGGCTTTACTGCAGGAGTCGCCTCATGATGGAGCCCGAGGAGCCCCACCACCTGCCTGTGGTGTTGGGGCGGCCGCCCATGCGCCCCGCTCCCGGCTGTGCCCAGGAACAGCCTGCTCCTCTCCGCTGGACCTGCTCCTCGCTCTGACGGAGCACAGCCAGGGCACCAGGTGGCTGTGGGCCGGCCTCGCTCTCTCCACGTCCRCTGTCCCTGGCAGCCGTCGGGCGCGGCCCTCAGTTGTGGACTCTCCGTGGAGCAGCTCAGCCCACGGCGCCCATCAGAGCTGCCACCAGAGGGCAAGGTGCCTGCCGCGGTCGGCCCTGAGCTGCTCTCCCAGTCCATCATCCAGCCCCAGACACGAGTCCCCAAGGGAGAGGACCACCCAGRGCAAGAACACAGGGAGGGGCCACCAGGGCCGCGTGGGCAGCTGCCCCCAGAGCCACTCATCTCAGCACACCCCCTGCCACCTGGTACGACGTGGCCCAGAAAGAACATGAACCACACCCATGACGCCGTGACCAGTGGCTGGTCCCTGCACTGCCCCTCACACTGCTGACCCTGGGCTCCACCATGGAGCCACACCCCACCCTGTTCTGTGGGGTAGGGCACTAAGTGGCACCGCTGCTTCCGCGATTCTCCAAGATGTGTACCTTGATTCTGAGCTTGCGGAGCCCCCACGTCTGAGCCCCCACGAGCACCCTGYTGGCCTCACCCAAATGCCCACCCATTTCTTTCTTTCCCCTATCATTTTTTAGCTGTAGATGGACTCCACACCTTCATTTTGTTTGTTCATTTATGTTTATGTGGCGCTCAGGACGGAACCCAGGCCTCACAYGTGCTGGGYGGGCGCTCTGCCGCTGYGTCCCAGCCTTGGCCCCTCCCCGCCCCATTTCTGACACGTCTCACAAGAACCCCAGGCTTCAGCGAGGGCAGAGGGTCTGTCCCTGAAAGGAGTAAGGACACAGCCGTCCTGCGCTCGCTGGCACCTCCCCACAGAGGACTGAATCCAGGACGCAGCGAGGCGGGCCCTGGAGCAGGGTGGCGGGCCCAGGCCATCCTGGTGGAGGGGTCTGGCACGCCCACCTGGCCCTTCCCTCAGCCAGGTGACATGAGGTGAGCGCCCAGGCCCGGAGCACACAGGGCACCGTGCCTCTCCACAGCACCACTCCTCCCTGCTGTTTGATTCCCAAAGAGAGGCAGGCTTCTGATGGCCCAGCTCACACACTGTCAGCAGGGCACCTGGTTCCTGCAAGCCCCCAGCAGGCTCAACCCACTGTGGGCCGCTGACGGACATGGGGCCGGTACTGCCCCCTGGAGGATGGCGAGGGTGTGGCAGCCTGTGCCTTGGTCTTGAGGCTGAGTCCATTTTGCCCCCTGGAGGATGGCGAGGGTATGGCAGCCTCCACCCTGGTTCTTGAGGCTCACATGGTGCCAACACTGTCCCCCAGAGAATGACAGAGGCAAGGCTGGCAGCATCCTGGATCCTGAAGCTCCTCCATCCTGGAGACCCAAGTGGCTTTCAAACCTGCTCCAGAGGTGACMTGGACAGGGACTGTCCCCTCACAGGGGACCCACGAGACATGTCCAAGCCCACCAAGCGGGCACTTTCAGCCCAAAGCCTCTGGGCTAGTTCCTCATCCTCAGCCTCGGSAGCTGGTGCCTTCTCTTTGAATCCATCAAAGTACTTTCCGGAAACACCCTCCAGTTCCTCCGCCACGGCCAGGTAGGTGCTGGGCTGCGCTGCCAGCTGGGGGCTCTTGACCAGCAGCCAGAAGATGGGCCCTGCACCAGCCACAGAGCACTCAGGGCACACCCTGGACCCCAGCGCCCCGCCCCGCCCTCGGGTCCCACAGCGCCCACCTCCAGGCTCTGCCCTGTGCTGCTGTCCACCCCGGAAGCTCCCTGCCTTTCCCCAGAAAATGAGCCTCACTTCTCTCCGTCAGCCCGTCCTCACCATCCCACCATTCCTTAAAGAGCCTCCTCTCACTGAACGCATCTGGGGCCGTCCCAGCTTCGGCTCCTGAGGCCGAGCCCACCCCCAGTCGTTCCCAGGGTCTCAGAGGCACGGAGCTCTGTTCAGCTCCACTCTGGGCCAGGCGCTGCACAGGGCCTTTCCCCGTGGGACCATCTAACCCTCCCAAGGACTGAGGGGTTCTCGCTGAGGAGGTGAGGACACGGAGGCTCAAAACGGGAGGCGTGTCCCCACACGGCTCGGCCAGGCTGGGGGAAGCTGGCCTGGCCCTGAGCACAGCCTGACTCCAGGCCGCTCAGCCRCTTCCCCTCAAGACGTGGCTTTCCTGAGGGTCAGTGGGCCCCGGCTGCTTCCTGGGGCTGTCCTGAAGCTGGCAGGCCAGGTCAACAGAGGAGGGGCTCATTCTGCATACCACAAAGACGGGGGTCGGGAAGTAACGCCAGGCACCGCCTGAGGGAGGGTCCTGGGCCCAGGCCGAGAGGGCAGGGCCAGAGGGTTCTGCAGAGACCCGGACCAGGAGGGACTCACCRAGTGTGAAGCTGGAGAAGGTGGACCTGTGCATGCCCGTGTGTCTGCCCAGCTCTGTCCTGGCCACACCAGGGTGCAGCGCGTTGACGGTCACACCCGTGCCTGGAGAAGAGAAGGACGGGCAGGGGCAGGCTGGCAGCTCGCTCCCCAGCTGGCAGGCTGCCGCAGCCCGGACCAAGCCTGGRGTCCCTGTCCTGCGCTCTTCCTGCCCTGAACCCACATCACCTCCACCCTCAGCCTCAAGGGTTCCATCTTACAAGGCAGCTTTGTCACATGGCTGCAGGGCAGAGCTCCCCTGGGGCGTGACAACCCACAGCACTGACCCACTGGCCCCACCAGAGTCTGAGCAGGGGCGTGGGGTGGGGTCTGGTGCCAGCACTGTGGCCAGCCCCGGGGAGGCTGGCGCTGCAGAAGCAGAGGCCCAGGGCGGCTTTCTAGCCAGCTCCTTGGACGCGTGGGGCTGCGGGGAGCCACCCAGCGCACGGCAGGGTGCCAAGCAGCATTCCCAGCGTCACCCACAGGGGCCAGCAGTAGCCCTCCACCCAGGTGTGACAATCATGTCTGCAGACAGTGTCACATGACCCTGCAGCTGAGAACTATTGCCTCAGAGTCCCGGAGGCTCAAGTGCCTGCCCAGGATCGGCAGGGAGGAAGGCCTGAGGGCGGAGGCCAAGTGGGATTGCGAGGCACTCAGAGCAGCAGGGGACTGGTCAGTCTGCGGAGGCACTGGCACGGAGCGCGGTGGGGGTGCACGTGGGGGTGCCGGCTCCACTCCTGTCTGGAGCGGCTCAGGCACAGAGCACCAGGCTCAGGGGAGAGCGGGAGGCCCACAAGGCAAGGCCTGCGAGGGGAGGCCCGTGGCTGCTGCGTACCTCGCAGCCGCCGGCTCAGCTCCTTGGTGAAGAGGACCAGGGCCAGCTTGCTCTGGCAGTAGGCGGCCTTGGTGTCGTACTTCCTYCTCTGCCAGTTCAGGTCCTCGAGGTCCACGTGCCCGGCGACGTGGGCCAGGGACGAGAGGTTGACCACGCGCCCAGGCGCCGAGGCTTTCAGCTTGTCCAGCAGCAGGTTCGTCAAGAGGAAGTGACCTGAGGAAGGACAGCGGAAACAGCACCTCGTCCACTTTAATGGTGCTGCCAGCAGCACCTCGTGAGTCCCATCCTCCCCACTGCGACTGCACCTCATCACTGACCTGCAG